TTGAAGGGCAATTGCTCCTGTGCTCCAGAGGACACATTTCTAACTCCAGTCTCTCCCAAGAGATCTATGTTGGTAAAATGCATGTTGAACAGTAGTCTAACAGAGCTCAGAGGGAAACAGCTGAAACCATGTCCAGAACATCTGGTAACAAGATCTGGAGAACACTCTGCACCAACAGATCTGAATATGTGGTGAGAAGCTGGGTTGGAGGTACACAAGGCAGGTGGTGAAACAGCACCATCCAGCTCTCCTGCCTTTCCATGCTGTTTAACACAGCACGGGTGGAAGCAGCCACACAGGGCAAGAGTCCGGATCCGCACAGCCAGGCTATGCCAGACAGCCTGCCTTCTGCTTTGGATCTGGGAATTCTACTGAGCCAGACCAGAGCAAGCTTAAGGTGATTTAACTGTCTGGATTAGGCTACAAAAAGTCCAAGGAAATCAGGAAATAACTCCCTCAGTGACCCTGTTTATCATGAGTTTCCGTAGGGTTGTGACATCTGTTGTTTGCCCTATTCTGTCAGTGAGGCTTTGCCATGGGAGGGTTATGGCTGAGCACAGCTGAGAAGTAACAACAGCCAAAGGGGAGGTTTGATACACCTAGGAGAGAGGAAGCAAGTACAACCATGTAGGAGGCTGGGTGAAAGGCAGGGAACAGCACAAATTCCTGTCTGAAAAGGGACGTGGTTATACTGAGGGATAAGACAACTAAGGGTAAAGGAAGAAAATGAGGGACTGATGCTTCGTATAACTGAAGGTTTTGGAGACTGCAGCAAAGTCTTGGAAATTAATTCCTACTATAAAGCTGACCTCCTGGAATATGTACATGGTACAGCAGTTGCTTTAGTTCTAGCAACTAACTGTATACTTGCCAAAATTTTCTGGCAGGAGGCTTTTTGGGGAAAAGAGCTGTCTGGCGATTCCAAGGGGAAGCGTGCAGAGATGAGCAAAATGTTCAAAATCAGCAAAAACATTGACTGTGCTGCTTGCAAACAGAACATTTTTTTCCAGTACAACCCTTCCACTAGGACCAAAACAGTCAAGATCTGTTTTTCTCTTCTTTCTTTCAGAAACAGAGGTGCTCAATGTCACTGCTAAAGCAGACCAAAGGGAGCAAAATAGGCACATGCAACATGTCAATACTCACTCATCGCCAGTGCAGGTCTGTCATGCAGTACCTAAATGACCCAAGACCAGCTAAGCTCTCTAACTTTGCAATCCTACAGCTGAGACCTTTTGCATGCAGCGACCAGCTGCCTGTTTACATGCTCCACAGTTCCTGAAGCCCAGTGTATTATTTTTCCAATCACATCATGCAAAATACTTTCTACAGCTTTGCTTGCTGTGTTCAGAGCCTCTGGAATCATTTAATTTCATGCTGGTCCTCAAAAGGCAAGCAGAGACACAAGGATGGACATCAGGAGATCTGGATTTAGTTTTCAGTCCACATTACACACTTTAACTTGGGGAAAATTGAGAAGATCTGAGCCTTACTTAACCTGAGGGAACCGCTTTCCTCGACTAATTTCTCTCCTGTATTTTGAAAACTGATGTTTTTGAACATTTAAGACACCTGTCAGGCCTGGATAAAGGCCAGCATTGGAAAACTCCAGCAAATCACAATCACATCATACAGACCTGAATAAAAGCTGTCAGTAAGCAAAGTCCACCAGCTGCTGCCAGTCTTCCAAGACCACAATCTCTGCCTTGGGGACCATGATCTCTCTGAGTAGCCCAAAGAAATTGTTACAGCAAAATGCTGACCCAGCTCATCCACCATCCAAACCAACCCCCTTCCCTACATGAGGAAACCAAACAGTAAAGCTGTTTCTTTCCTTCTACTTTTTATGATTATATTCCAAGAAAATTAAAAGACAATGCAGCTTTTTCCTGCCATGTTACCAGCTACCAAGCTTGAGCTAAGAAACAATTAGACCTTTATAAAGCTATCAGACCTATATTTATGAATCTGAATATAGTTTTATTATTTGACAACATGGCACTATTTTTTTAAAATAAGAGATGGGTGGGGAATCTGAACCAGGCTGTTATCTAATTTTAAACACAGCCTGTCCACCTGCTTGGTGTATCATATTCTCCATTCCTCCACTCCACCCCTTAACAAAATAATACCTTGATTTCACATCCTATTCCACTACCCTCAATGACTGGTTTGTAACTACCACAATCTTACTTGCTGCCTAGAAATGTTGAGATCAGCCATTTTCAAAAGACAAACTTCCCTCAAATTCCTAAACAGGGGAAAAGGTCCTTTTTACAGGAAAAATTTCAAGTGGCCACAAAACAGGATCACATTTCAGAAGGCATGCCCAGCAAAGACTAGTTTTCTTTTCCATTTCAAACACCACCTTCTTCTCCTTCCCACAAAGCTGTGGTGGTAAATAAATATGGGAGGTAATTCAACAGGACTAGCAAGAAGGTCTGTTTTCAGGCACACAAAAGCACTGGTGGTCTGAGAAGGTCAAGAGAAGCAAAAACTTCCCAAAAGCTACTTCAATACATGCATACACTGGTTAAAATCAAAACACAGAACAACCATGAAACCATAATTAAAATGTGCTGCTAAGTTAACTGTTCATTAACCAAAAGTTATTATTAACCTTTAAAAAGCTAATCTATTCCCAAGCATGTAAAGCTGTTGCTCTCCACATCACCAATTCATTGCTCATATTAAGACTAATTACATATACAATCACTGCTGTTCACCTAGATCTTGAGTGCCTCACCACACATACCTACCAGAGATACTCAACAATTCCTGGGGCAGCAGCTAAGCTCACAAGCTCTAGAATATGAGTTTTCATGTAAAGGACATGCTCTCACTGTGACTCCTCCACCCCATCCCAGAAACATTTTTCTAACACTCACAATAGCAAAGAAAGCTTTGAAAACATTAACTGTAAAATCAACGTTGGATGTTTGCCTCCATTTGCAGAAAGCCTAGAAAACAGGTCTCACATTGGCATTATCCCCCTCATCCCAGTGTGGTACATGACGCTCTCTGTGACACAGAAGGAATATGAATCTCCACGTGGAAACCTATTTCTCCTGAGGAACCATCCAGCAGTGTGTGCCACCAAAATGTTTACTCTGTGATCTCAGCAACTCATGTACTTGGTCTAGAAAAAGGAGCCTGAAATATTCTGCCCTCTTCCAACAAAATCTGGTTTGATCTTCCAAGAACTTTTCTGATGCAGCCAGGCACCGCCCAGTATAAAAGTCTGTGCCCCACTGAGAGCACAGACAGTTAAAGCAAACCCATCCCATGGAAATGGCAGGGGCTGTTGCTCAGACCACACTATTAGTATGAGATTCAATTAAGTCTCTTTCAAGATGTCCATGGGAGAAACAGAGTGACCGTGCAACAAGCTCATGTGCAGCTGTACTCCATGCTGTTGCCCAATTTAGATCCTTCTTGCCACAGTCTGTAAGCCCTTTCATACATGCATCTCCCTCTACATTCCCACCCACGCGAATCCAAAACTGGGTTTGACCTTCCCCACTCTGCTTTGTCCACACATCCCCATCTAGTCCAAAAAATTCCTGCCATCTGTTCTGCCTATGCTGCTCACTAAGGACTCTGCTGCTGCCCTCCACCCCTATACTGAATTGTTTCTTCAACTGTCTGGACACTTTGGAAAATACTCCTGCTGTAAAGGGTCTGCAATACATTCAAATCCTGCCATTAGTATCGACACAGCAGCTGCTAGTTTGATGCACAGTGTGTCTTGAAGATGTCTATCAGAGCCCTGTTTACTTTACAACCACATCCTCCATCCTTCACTGCCTAACTTGAAAAGTAAAAGCAAGTTTCTAGACTAAAGGATGAAGTTCCAGCTATTCCTGTCCTTGGATCCAGGTTAAGTGATAGTCTTTGTATGTATAATGCATTTCCACATACCTAATACTTTGGGAAAGTGAAACTGTGGGCACAACAGAGATTAAGTAGAAAGCACAGTTGCATAAAAGCTGGAAGATGCCATTGGGTGTGGTAAGAAAGTATCTCCAGTCTCTAATGTGGGGGCACAATGTTCAGAGTTCCACATTTCCAAATTCCAAGAGCACAGACGCCCTCCCAGCCTAGGCTCCTGGCAGTACAACCACATGTCAGCATCGATGTTCAACCCTTTCTGCTCCTCCTTGGGAAAGGAAAACACCATCAGACTGGAACAACTCAAAGCTTTCCTTTAAAATTCAGTATTTCTTACTTTCCTATCCTTTTAACTTGCCATTTCTCCACATGTATTTATCAGAGTTTTGCTGACCTGCTTTGACCTGCCTGCTGCCATCTAAAGGGATTTATCAGGTACAGTCACTCAACCACTCACTAGAAACTTTGGCAGTTTTAAATCCCATATTTTGGGAAAGAGGAGGTAAGAGGGGTTGCAATGGACACTGTGTTTTCCTCACAGCACGTGGCATTAAGCCACTGTAAGGCCACAGGACTTGTCCAAGACTTCTCTCCTCCAAGGAGCTCCAAATGCAATGAGTCCTGAGGAGAATAAGCACCCTGGACCTCCTCCTTGAAAGGACATCTTTAAAAAGATAGATCAGATTTAAACAGCTGTGCTTGCAAATAGCTAAAACAGTAAGATGAAAGATACTGAACTAATTCCTTGTTTGAGCGTGCGCAACTCTAGTGTTGCACACTATCATTATATCAGTATTTCTCCCTCAAGCTGGTTTCCTCACTCACACACGATGCTATCTTGAGTACCCTCAGTATTGCCCAAATCAGTGAGAATGCCAAAGGACAGTGGCAAAACAACCCATTACTCCTCAGAAAGCAGGCAGCACCCATTGGAACAACCCTACTTCCTTGTCCTATCAGGTCAGCTCCAGACTGTGTTGCAGTGAAATGCAATGGCAATGCACAACAAGGGCTGAATATAACCCCCCACGGGACACAAGCCAGACCTGCAGTATGGTATGAGAGCCATGCAGATTAAGAAGGGAAGCCATACAAAATGAAGGACTTACACCAGAGTTCATAGTAGTAGTTGCAACACTGGGATTGTCCACAACAGTGGCCCGTTTCACATATGTAACTTTGATTGTTGACACCCATGCAGGTTTCCTTGTCCTAAAATTAAACAGACACACTTTTAAGATGCTTTGTCAGTATCATCTATAAACGTTTTACTCAATGATCTGCAAGCATTTGAAAAGTACAAGTTACAGTCTTGGGAAACTCTAAAATACATAGAGAAGTTAAAAAGTATTCAAAGATCACCAAAACCACAAAGTGACTGTTCAGCAGAAACAACAGTATCTCCAAACTGTTGAGTTAGACAGTTTTAGCATCTAGTCAGCGCTGCTTTCTCAGCATCCCTTTCCTTTTCCATTAAAAGGGACCATGTTCTGGGAGCCAGGCATTCTCTTAAAGGAGAGATGACATTTGTTCCACATTGCACACAATATCGCTCATTACGGGGGCCAAATGCCAAGTGGAGGAAATGCATTCATAGATGGAACATTATCATTTGAGAAAAGACTGCTTGGATTCATTTAGATCTAAATGATAATTACAATATGTTCCTGCAAGATTCCCATCTACCATGATTCCTTCATAATTAGCCATGTGCTTTATATAAGACCAGCATTCCTGTAAAACTTCTTCCTAGAATAGCAAAGCAATCCAGGAGCAGAGCCAAATCAGCTATATCGTATCACCCAGCAGGTCCTCAAGACACCTAAGATGGAAAAGGACTACGGTGTGAGGTCTCAGTTCCCCACATGGTGCACCACTTCACAAAGATCTGTGTTTCCCTGCTAGTCTGAAAACATGGGTGGGAAAAGGCACAAAACACAAGAAACCAGAAGCATTTTACAGTTGTGGTTTGTACATCCTCTGACAGCTTTTGGGGCAACATGGAAGTTAGGAGGACACTCTACAGTTTAAGAAATAAACAAATCCCGACAAAAACCACTGATGTTGCAAACAAACCTGTAATAAAGTTTTAAGATTTTTCACTTTCTTTCACTCAAAAAATTTATTATGAGGAAATGAAAACGTGGGGAGATTTATACTGAAAGATGTGTTGAAAGAACTAATTTTTTAAGTACCAACTTTCAAACCAAAAAACACCAACACACAAAAGCCCAACAAAACCCAACCACCAGCCTAAAGGGATGCACATCCATGGATCCCAACACTTGCTGAACTGCACTGTTCCTCTCTTACATGTGAGTGCACCATGGCCACATTTCTCACAAGCCTCTGTGGAGTTGCTATACGCGCAAAAGCCAAAGTGCGTCTCAAATGCTGCACCACCTCACTGAACAAGTGATGTGAAGCAGCAGCTTCAACGCAGAAGAGTCCTGCACCACGTTCTTAAGGAGACTCAGTCTATTCGGGGATCTGGAGGAGCACCAGCCCTTCCCCACCATGCAGCACCCCAGCCAGAGCTGCCCCTCCCCAACACTGAGCCTTGCAGGTCCCTCACCTGAGCACTCAAATTCTGGGAGCAACATAACCCCTAGAAGCACAAGAACCTCCTGCCACAAGAGATTCAACAGAAAAGACCTCATGCTGCATTTTTCTCCTAAGAAATCAGACAAATTTTGAAAGGGTGTTTGATCATGTGAGGGCACAAGTCAGCAAACAACTCAGCATATGATAGTGGGTCCCCTCCTTCCACGGATATGATGATTCCAACAAAAGGCTCTAAAAAGCACCAACTGGACAGCTCCGTAAAACTCACCTGCAGAACCAACAAGCTGGAGGGGTACCTGCCTCTGTTTTCCAGGAAGGGAAGAACATTTTGCTGGACAGACCAGTCTAAGTGCTTTACTACAGGTAGCTAAAGTAAACATCTTGTTCTGAGATGCTGCATGTCAACAGTAGAAACACCACTTTCCTACAGGATAAGGAGGTGTTTCTACCTCTAATTGCAGAGGCTGGTAGCAACTTTCAGGAGACACTGCTGAGCTAGCACAGCATTTTCTGCTTCAGGCATGCTATTCACTCCAAAAAAATGCAATTTTAGTCAGCAAAAGAACTAGAAATAGGCAAGATCAATTCTCTTATCGGTTCTTATGAGCTTATTTACACTTTCCCTCATTTTTGTTGGCCTTGCAGAGTTAATGTAACTGATGAACAGCATAGATTTTGGCTCTCATATCAACAGAATTGAGAAATTAAGACCCCATTGCAAAACTGCAATCCTGTTGACAATGCACAAGTCAGAAAGTGACTGGCTGAGGTCTGCAATTGTGACACATGAAGTTCAATGTGACCTGTTGAACCAGCAAATGAATCACAAGGAGCTGGTGAAAGAACAGTCCCACAATGCCATTTCAAGATCTCCTCTGCATCACCACATGGATCTATCCTTGACCACCTCTAGTTTACTCCCCAAAAATTTGATCCATTCAGTGCTGTCTGCTCCAAAAAGTATCAATACGGAATGCATCCTTGTCTTTTGGCAGCAGGAACTTATAACAGCTTCAACACCACTGTATTTTTCCCACTTAAGAACTTGCAGCAGTCCTGTTTTCAGAGTCTTCCATCACATCATCCTCTTATTCGAACTTCCTGACTCCCTCTTGCCAATCTTATTATATTTTAAATGACCTTTCCACACTGCCATATGCTTATGTGCAGAACTGCTTCTAGTTAGCCCAGCTGGCTAACAGACATAGCAGTGTACATGCTGCACAGAAGATCCTCAGCAGCTAGGCTGGTATTCTGCAGGTTACTCCTGGAGATCAAGTCTCAAGCAACATCCTGCTTCCCGTCTAAAGCAGAGTTTAAATCTTACTGCACAGAGCTTCTTTTACATACTGACCAGGACAAATCACCTTCCTTGGTAATATATATGCACTTGTACCATCCAATAGTCTTGCAGTTGGCTTTCAGCTCCCCCAGCTCCGAACAGATGAGGTTATAAAGTCCTTTCAGGGACAACCACCAGGCATGCTCCTCAAAGTCCAAGCAGCTCCTTTTGGAGCCTTTCTGCAGCCCTGTGCCAGCCCAGCCACCAATGCGCTTCTGGGAACAGGGAGCAGCCAGAACTGGTGCCACACGTCAGACTGTCACCCTTGTTTCCAAACAGTTTCACAGAATAAAGGAATAATTTAGTTTGGAAAGGATCCCAGCAGGTCACATGGTCTGACCACGGCTCAAAGCATGGCCACCTCCAACACTAGGTTACACAGCACAGGGAAAGTTTTTTAAAGAGAAAAAATGTAAAGGCAACAAATCTTCAGAAACAAAACTCCAGTAGGAAAGATTCCAGCACAAGGAGAGCTTTGGTTTGAGATGCTACTGATGTCTCCTTTGAATCAAGTGTTTCAGTCTCCTTTCCTCTACCCACTTAAGTCCAGGCTCGTTTCCGTGAAAAGCTGAGCCACTGTACAGTTTCTTGCCAGTTTTGTACAAGTTAAGGAAGAGATTATGCACAGCCACCATTATGCACAGGCCATGACAGAGACAGTGACACTTTTTCTTAGGAAACTTCTACCTAAAGCCAAACTCTTCAATCTGGATTCAATTTCTATCTAAATCCCAGGCTGCACTTTTCATACAGCAGTGTTGTATCATTTCTGCTTCCTTCTCGCTTGCATTCTGTGTGTCATATACTGCGAAACTGTAACTACTTAAGACATATCAGCAATATAGTTATCCATAGCCTAAATGTCTCCTGGAAACAATATCCCAAGTACTTGTGCTATGAAAGCACACTATTTCCTCTTTCACACTAAGAGGCGTGGACAAGGCAGCAGCCTGAAAGAGCAGTTCTATAGATAAGAAAAATAAATATGGGGGGGAAAATCTCATAGAAGCAAAGCTGGAGCACTCACATTTTATTGACCTACCTTAGTTTCTAATTTCCATTACAAACAGAGCTTGTAATGATAATTTTTAACTGTTCTTACAGCATGGAGGTTTTATTGAACTATTACAGAGGTTTAGGGGTTTTTTTTATGTAGCCTTATGGAAACAAGGAAGGGGGAGGGTTTCTCTCCAAAAGCACTTTTTTTCCCCAATAACCAATGGCTACTACATTCCATAGTAGGCTTCCCTGCAGAAGGACAGCCTTGTTTTCTTGTAGTCCAGGCAAGCACCCCACCAGCCTTTGTTCAGCTAACTGCAGATGCCTCCAGGCAGGATTACTAAGCAGGATCTCCACGAGTCTGCTCTCAAAGAGCATTCAACTCCATCAGAGCAGAATATTCTTATTTCGAAACTAAGGAGCCAGAACATGCCATCCCTTATCTCCCACCTGCAAAGCCTAGGAGATTCCCAGCTAATTTCAAGGGATTTGCTTTGTCCTGTAAATCAGCATGTGCTCTAGGCTGCATGCACATCACTGCCTCATTGGCATCATCCTAAAAGCTGATCAGAGAAACTGGAATCACTGGATCCACACACACACACTCCAAAGCTGGGAGCTTTCAGAAGGCTCTGCAGTCCTGGAGTCTGTGTTCTCTCCCTGCCCAGTCCAACAGAAACCATTTGCGAAATACGGTGCAGGCTCTCCTCATGAAATTGGTTGAGTTGGGAAGATCTCATCTTCAGAATCTCTTCATATTTCAGATTATAAAGGAACTCTGAATAAAAAAATAGGAATTTTTTTTACAACTTATTTTAGTGTTGGTATTTGGCATCTGTGAAGAACCCACAACCATACTGGCAACTCTGGCAGCAGCATGCTTTTGCTGTCAAGTGCTTTTACAAATAATCCTTAAAATATCCAGCAGTGCCAGGTATAAGAGAACTCAAGGCAGTGCCACATGTTGTCACATCTGAAACTACTGCAAACATTAATGTCAGTGCCAGGGAAAAAAGCCAATTAATTTCTTCACCTTCCAGTTTGGTATTGGACCTTTGCTGCAGGTCTACATGACAAATTAAGGTCAAATTCTGGGGCACGATCAAGACAGAAAGCATTCACAGAGGTTTACTGAACTGCTCCTTACTGCAAGGAAGGATGGAATCAGACATCCTTATTCTCCTTTTGTGAAGGTTTTCAGTACTAAATGGTTGGATTTAATACCTGTAAATCTGTTAGGATTTTTTGCATCTGAAGCCAATGTAGGAAAGGAACGAAAATGAGAAGTGACTGACAGTGGAGTATCACCACAATTAAAGGAGCAAGACACTTTGCACTTTTCTAGTCTCAAAAGTTAACCCAGGAACATGGTTGCTATGACAAAAAGGAGAAAGATGAAGATGAGCCTGTTCCAGACCAGTGTGGCTATTTTCCAAGGTGAAAATTAATATGTGCAACTGCAGCAACAAACATCACAGCCCACGCTCAAAGTGCACAGTTGGCAGTGAACCACCTACAAAAGATGACTCCTCAGCTGGCATTAACCAGGTAACCAAAACCAGCCGTGGCTGTAACATGAAGATCTAGAAACCATTTCAGCTTTTTGCTCTGTCTCCTCTTTCCACAGAAATCCAGGCTCCAGTACACTAAATATGAACACCTTGCTTTTATATGGCCTCCATGTGTCATTCGACCTGCCAGAGTTCATCCTAACCTTGGTCACACCCAGACACTCCAGGAAACACTTGGAATTGTGACTTGCATTTACTGACAGCAGGTTATAGGCCATTCCTGTCTGCTAGGATAGCCAGTTTTTTAGACCTGTTCTAAATCTCCTACGCTCTCCAAACTTCAGTACAGCATTTGTCCAGGCACCATGCAGCAAATTACTGTTTGAACTGGAAGAGATGGGGAATAATAACAGAATGCCAGGGGGGAGTAAGGGACTGAGAGACAGGCGTACAAACAGTGGGACACAGAGCACAGCCCAGCAGCAGGCTGAAGGGAGACTGCCAAGATGGCATCTGCTGAAGGGCGAGATGTGACTAGTTTTAACAGGACTCAGACTCAGCCTGTGACCACTCCAGACCTTCTGGTTTCACAGCTCTCACAGGGGGTTTGGTAATAAGCATCTATTTGATAATAAATAAAAATCCTGACCTAGTTATTGCACTAATCTCATTACTTGCAAGCAGCAGTCCCTTGCTCCCGGCCGCACCCACAACAACGAGCAGGATGGAGTTAAGCAAGTGACACAATCTTCAGAAAGTGTATTAAAATATGTATTTTGAGTAACTCACAATCAGCATTTGAACCATATATATTGTTTAAACATTCTGAGTAACAGAATGGAGATGACTGTCAGTATATTAAATACGTCAGAAACAACTCTTTGATATTCACTACTTATTAGTTCCCACTTGGCTGTTAATCAAATTCACATATCAGACTATCACTAGTGTTGGTTAGCCAAGTGCATCAGCAACAGCTCATGAGAATGCAAATACAAAGCTACCAAAGAAGAGATGAGAAACTCAAGTGGTAGTAAGTTAAAATTGCTACTGAAAATACTAGACTGGAGTGCCAAATCTTGCAACAGGGTTTACTGCAATTCCTGGTTCGCCAGCAATCCCCCAGATACTAATCCAAGTTAATCTTAAATAAAAACTCACTAGATCCTTTCAGAGAAGGGCAGTAGGTTTTCAGCAAGGACAGGCAGAACTGCTGGGGAACTGGTTCACCAGGGCAGCTCAGGACTGACAGACACCCAGCTAAGCCTGCACCAAAGTCTCCAGACATCTCCTGTCTTCATAAACACTACACTTGTTAGTCCTTTGGAACATACAAAGCAAAAAAACCACCATCTGAGCAAGTGTCGTGCCTTTGGTGGGGGAATTTAACATAAGCACATGAATTTGCCACAGATGAAAGTGGCTTTGACTGCTGGGAGTTACTGGAACCTCAGATGCCAGCCCCTGCCAGCACAACAGGGGATGGATTCCTGTAAGCCTGCCTTATGACAGACAGCTGAGGCCAGGAAATAAATCAAGTCTGGACATCTTTTCATAAGTCACCCACCACAAATTTTGTTTTGCTGAATGTGACAAAAAAAAAAAAAAGTAGTACTAAGTGCAAACATCCAAATACTTAAAATATAACAACTGGGGGAGGAATGATGCCTCTGAGCTGTCTCAAACACAATAAAGATCTCCGAAATGGGAATTCTAACCCACAACATTTATTGCTTTGCTAATGCCAGTGTAAGAAGAATTATATTTAAATCACCATGATTAATCAGTGACAGCAGATGCAGAACCTCTAAGGCTTTATTAACCTTTATCTGAGGAACAAATTGGTTTGTTGCATCCATTTATCCTGGAGAAATACTCCAACAATCTTTAAAGGAACGCAGTCCTTTCACGGATCGTGGGCACTAATACGTTTCAGTAAGAGCTGGTTTCGTTTCGATTTATTGCAAGTTTCACTTCCAGACTCCAAGAACTACACGTTTGCCTTTTAAACACCATGTGAGAGTGTTTACTTCCTCACGCCTTGCTAGAAGTTTCCCAGCTGCAGTCCCCAGCCCTCTTACATTAAAGACAAGCATTTCTAGGAAATTACAGCTCTGAGGAGGCCGTCTCACGTTCTACTGTTTTAAACCACCAGTTGACACCACTGAAAAACTTGAGCAGTTAAAATTACAACTGAAGAGGTTAGGAATCCAACATTTGAACCTATTTTTTTGCCTTTTACATTTATGCAGTGAACTAGATGAATGTGTTCAAGCTTCCGCCTGCAACCCTAAGAGGAAATGCTTACTTAAAACTGAAAGCTGAGATCCTCTACAATCATGTTTCCTGGGACTGGAGCTTTAAACACCCACATCCCACTAACGTCAGACAGCGCTGACCTAGCTTTTTAGGCATTTAAACATCATCTTCAGTGCAACAACACAAAGCCCCAAACCCAACCAAACACCTTAATTCCACCATGTGTTTGGCAGGCCATCTGCAGTGCTGCAATGCTGCTGGGTCCCAAAGAAGAAGTGAAGACAGATCCAGGGTAAGCAGTTTTTCAGTGCTGCGCAGGGGTGCAGAGCAAGGGGTGCTGGTCCTGGGGAGCCGAAGCCCTCACCATGTCCCTTCCATCATCATCACACAGCTCACAGGAGGACACCACACTCGGCACCTCTTCCCTGAGCTTGTGAGGCACAGCCCAGGATCAGCACCCCTTGTGTTGAGTGAGAACAACAAAGGACATGCGAGACAGCCAAGTGTTTACAGTCCAGTGTAAACCAAGAGACAATAGAGGTGACGAGATGTTCCTGAATTCCTCCCACACTTTCAATTAAACAGCACTGTTCACTAACAATCTGTATTTTCTGCTCTTTTGGAAGTGGAAAATGAAATTTCTGAATAGTATCTGCATGCAGGACACAATCACAAACACTTAAATTTTTTAAGACTAAAAATGATTAAAATTCAATATGATTAAAACTAAGGAAAGTTCAAGCAGCTCTTTGCCACTATACCCTTCATCGGCGGATAAAAATAGTCAAGAGCTTTGCTCTTGCCTTCTTGAGGCAACAGCTTTTTTTCCGCAGAGTAAGAAACTACCATCCATCTACTAAGACAACAGGATATTCCCTGTTCGAGCAAATGAAGCAAATTACACCTAACTTCTGCTTTAACACTTTACGTAGCACCTCAATTGTCCTGAACACATCTCTAAAACAAAAAGATTAGTTTTAAAATAGGAACTTAAAGAACAACACCCCCATGAGATTCGAGCAATCTCAACATCTGAGGAAGCTGTGTCTCTGCATTTTAGTTACCTAAAGCCATTCAGCCTTGGTGCCTGAATTTCCCTCTCTGGTCCAGTTCCGAGGTTTTCGGGGAAAGTCTCTTTGCCGTGAGTGCTAACAAGTGAACTATTATTATAGCTATTGCAACAATCACAGAAGGTCATTGTGCTAGAGGTAGTTTCTTATGTAAAACTGTTTTCAGTTCCGCAGGGTGGGAGGGAGAGGGAGGGGGAGAGCTGCATTTCACCAAAACCTAACTGATAAGGAAAAAGAGACAGCACTGTTTACTTAGCAGTGTGCTCAAGTCCTTTTGCCTTTGTTTCTAAACGACTGAAAGTTGTCAAAAACACGCTGTGGTCCAATCTCAACTTAATAATTCTAAATTAGAAAGTGCAAACAGCACTCTGATATCATGCAACATATATTTATTGTGGATTACAGATCGCAGGAGTGCTAGAAGAGTTTACAGTTAGATTGCCCTGCAGACGTGCCTCCCAGACCAAAAAAAGGGTTTGCTTTCCCCGAGCCTAGGAACACATAGTTGGCACCTCCTCCAGCGAGGAGCAGCTGGGCAGTTGCTACCGTTTCTCATTCCACTCGACATTACCAGCTATTAAACTATCCCAAGTTTCTTGTTCAAGCTCAAACTCTCTCAGAACAATTAAAAAGTCACCAAGCTGGGGATCACAGCATGTTGCCATTTTCCGTTTGGTGACCTTTGTCAGAGATGAGACCTACACACACACACACATATATATAAATGCCTCTTTCTCTGTTCTTTGTTTTTAAAACCCACAGTTTAACACTGCAAATACTGCCTGCACAAGAAAACAGCTCAAAGCTCATCATGTTTTTAAGCAATGCAAACTCAATTCCACATTAAGGACTGTGGAAAGCACCCTGAAACCCAACTAAAAAAATCCTGCACAGGAGCAGGACACAAAGAGCCACCCTGCCTGCCGCAAAGCCTACCACAACAACAAGGGAGTTTCAGTCCCTGGCTCAGAGTTTTGTTCCTTCCTGGCTAGTAAAAAGCATCTCCCATACAACTGTGCTCCCCGATCACACAGCACGGGAGGGGAAATGCTGTTTGCACAGTTCCCTTCCGGGAAAGTCAGAAATCATTTCCTTAGAGGTGGGGGGAATAAAAATAAAATCAATCAGTCACATCCTCCACCTGAGCAAGCTCCCACCACACCAAAGCCAGTTACCTGTCTGAGACCCAGGAGGAAAGGCATTCTGCAGGCTCATCCTCCACACCAGCACATGGGAAGGCAGGAATTTAAAGCCCCACAGTGACCATTTCCTCATCTGATGTGGGCAGCCTGTTCCTCCGATCCTATTTAAACCAGGGCTTCCTCGACTGGGAATGCTAAGTAAACAGGGTCCTGGGACACTGCACGCACTCGCTGGCTCCCCCCCCTCCTCCTCTCCTCCCACTCCCTGTGACATATCTCAGACGCAGCCCAGCCGGGGTGTTCACGAGAGGGAAATGACATCAGGTTGGGCAGTTCTGAAAAAAATTGCCGAAAAAGAAAAGAAAAAAAAAGGCAGCCCTGAGCCTTAAGGCGGCTGCTGGGTAACAGCAGGCAGCTCGCTGCAAACAGCCTGTGCAGGACCCTGGCAGGGAGCCACGGAGGAGAGGCACACTCCCCTCCCTGCTGACGGGATGCTGCAATGAGGGGAATCTATTAAAAATGCTGGCATTAGCCAACAGCACCTCAGTGATGATTAAATCTCACCAAGCAAAAATAGACATTTCATCTGTTTCTGAGGAGAAAGCCAAGTTTGATGGTGCTTGCTGAAGAGCACTGGAGCCCTAGGAGCCACCACCATGGCTTCCCCAAGTACTCCCAGACTGTGGGACCTGGGGAGAGTCTTCACAGACCCGAAGCACTCCCGTGCCACCTTCTGCCTGCCACCATGGTTCCACCATTTCTGAGCAACTCTTACAGGGCTGTTCAACTCGCAGCTGTCTCTCTAAAGAAACAGCAACAACCTCCCTGATTTCCAAATGATCAGGATTGGGCCTCTCCAGACAGGTAGAGACTTAAATCCTCCTCTCGCCAAGGAAAATGCGACTAGCCCTGTCAAAAGGTTTCTCATTCTACTTGAGCTCATTTTACATTTTCATGCCAAGGGGCAATTAAGCCTTATAAACAAATTTATCATCTGCTGTCCAGGATGGCACGTCTTGTTTGTCCTCCCCCAAGCAAGGAGTACAGCAAGTTCCACAGTGGTGTAGAAGATGACACTGCAGAAGGTAATCTAAATTTAACTCTCTTTTCTACCTCCACTTTGAAAGTTCAGCAACCTCTTTTTTTTGTGCTTCACTTTAATCAGCAGCTGTCCTCGTCTGTCGGGGGAGGGAAGGGGGGCACTGGGACACCACCACCATTCCCATAAACCCCTGCAGCAGCTCCACGGATATTTGACAGAGGAGCAACTCTCCTGGCTTTGGGCTTCTTTGGCTCAACAGCTTAAAAATATGACAAGGAAAGGAATATGCTTTTTTTTTTCCATAATGAGTTCACCAAATGCCTTTTTTTTTTTAATTTCAGTACTTCAGAAGAGAGACAGAAAAGTCACATAAAATTCTTACAAATGCTAATTTGCAACAGGACAAAAAAAATTAAAGAGGAAGGAGAAAAAAAAAAAAGCAGAACAGACACCCCTTCCCCCTGCAACAGCCAGATAGCTCGCAGTAGTGTCAGAAAAAGACACCCATTTTGCACAGGCCAAAACCATTCCGTGACCACCACTGCTGCCTTCTCCCAGCCCAGGGTGATTTCCCAAACCAAAACCCCACTGTGGGTATCCTCTACACAATAAGGCTGTGAGACTACACACAAGCATTACCCATTTTTACACCAACTTAAAGGCACCATCTAAACTGGTTGTTTAAGGTAAGCACATCTCTGATTTTCCTAAGAGGCACGTAAGTAATTTCCTGGAGGATACAAAACATCAGCGTCAACTAGCATCAGCCAGGCAACGGGATTTTCCAGCTTTTGTGCTCTTGGATCAAACAAGCTCTCAACCTTTGCTTTTCCAACTCTATGGACAAACAGCAGTGATATAAAAGGGCAGCCTTCTGTTTTAGTAATCTGTTCTGTGGCCTCACGCTGGCCTGTGAAACATCCGATTTTGGCTGTTGCTATCCAGAGCCCTGGACTAGGCAGATCCCAGGGCTGAGCCAATGCAGCAATTTCTAAATCCCTACTGTCAGAAGGAATCTAACTTTAACCACCCGCCTCTGCCCCAGCACACGCTCAAAAGGCAAAGCGTCATTCCAGATCTAAGACAAGTTGTGAAGGACTATCAAAGGCAGTAACTTAGTGGAAAAGCTAAAGCATCCTAATTTATGTGTGAATTTAGCAATCCTGGAAAGACTGACACAAAAAAGGCAGTTTGCAAGCAGGAATTACCACATTCGACTGCAGCAGGAGCAGCCACCCTCTCTTGCAGTCCCTGAGTGACAGCAGCCAGTAACATGCTCCACAACTCTGCTATGGGCGACTGTGGAAAAAGCTCTGTAGAAGGACAGGAAAAAAAAACAAACCAGAAAAAAAAAAAAGCTGGAGCAGCTCATACCCTTCTAAAACCCTAACCAACACACTTAGAACCTTTCCAATATACCTAGGTACTCCTAATTGTTGCAATTGCTTTGTGTATTCTGACTGGTATCCTTTTACCCCCTCCTGTTTTTCTAAGTTCATAAGTTCTTGCCCCAAAGCTTTGTCTGGCAGCAGTGAGTTTCACAGACAGTGCTCGTGGACAAATAGTTTCTTTCATCAGGAATGAATTCACCACCTTCTAATCTGACTTTCATATTATTAGCAGGTGGGAACAGAGGTCTCCATCCATCTTCTCACCCATTCATTACTCTGTACCTGTTAGCTATCTTCTTATAAAAGCTATCAATCTTCTCTATCCTCTTAACGTAAGAATCTTTTCTCCAAGCCTTCAGCTGCTCATTGTCCATTTTCAAAACCTCCCTAATTTTCTACTGCTCTCTGCTTAGGGGAAACCAGAGCTGAAATAATAATTATTTTAATGAAAGCAAGAGCAGTTCCAAGGCAGGCTCAGCATGGGCTCACTTCCTTTATATAAACCTGCAGTTTAAGATCTGCAAAGGCCACACAAGAGTGCATCTGTCCAAGAGAAAATGAACAGAGCAAACAAAAATTTTCACAGTTTCTCAGTAGATGACTCTCTTGAGGGTTCTGAAAAGTCAGGGCTAATGTCAGGACAGATTATGGGATCTACATAACTTTGAAAATTTGCTTGTTTAGGCAACCACCAGCCATCCTTTTTTGGCATGTCAGTGTGGATCCCACTACAGAATAACAGTGAGCAAGTTCCTCCTGAAAAAGAGGGAATAGAGGCTCTAGGCATTACCAGTCTATAGTACTGCTGTCCTGAACAGGCCACCTGCCCCAAACACGGTATCAAACAAAGGATGTTGCTCAATACCTTCACAAGCCCAACACAATGTGCCTCGGGACCTCAGATATTAGCATGCAGCTGAAGTAGGTGATGGAAGTTGTTTGGGCCATTGTAGAGTTTTTTTCCATGTTTGATGGGAGATGCTTGCAAGCAGATTTAGTAAACCAGCAAGGTATAGTATTCGTTTTGATACTCCCTGAGGAGGCAGAGCCTGATCTTTAGGTGGATCGGTTATGATAACACGATTGAAGCAAAAATTGAAGTTGTGCACTTGAAATCTGTGAGGCCTGAAGCACGAGGCTGGTCTCAGTTGCTCTACTATTAGAGTCCTAGGCAGGGAGAGGTTTTGAACAGTAAATATGGATGGTGTGTAATATCCCCTCCACTATACTTTAATATCATGGTTCTGCAGAGATATATATATATATAGATATAGATAGATATAGATATATATATGCAGGTTTACCATAAAGTTGGAACAATTTTATCTAATTGTTCTCCCATTTGCCCCAGTGCACTCTGTTATTTCCACGCTGGTAAGAGGAATATCCCTGGAGTGCCGCAATCCATTTTTGTTAGCTGGCCCATAGGCTTGGGTGCTAGCCCTGAGACTACACAAATCTGGAAGGCACTCGAAACAAAGTGTGAAAGAAACAAACTCCAGGAGGGTGACTTTGCCTTCCTATCCTGGAGATGGCCCTGGGAATAAAGGGGGAAAAAAAGGAAAGAAACATAAAGAAAGGCATAAAAGCAGATCTCTCTTTCTGTAGAATAAGACAATACCCTATCTGGCTCTACCTGCCTTGACACCAAATATTCTACAGGGACTGATTTGCTACCAAAACCAGAACAAGACACTGGGAGATCACTGATGCTGGAACAGTGATGCATTGCTAGATCTGCCTAGAAACCGTTTCTGCCTGGCCAGCTGCCCACTTGTTGTTGATCCCTGAAGAGTGAAGGGCAGCTTCCCCACTGTAATGACACCATTAAAAGAACATGATGACTTTCCAATATGAGGACCAGGTGTCCTAGGTTCATGTAACATAGAGCACTGGTGCTGCCTACAAAGAATGGAATCAACAAATTCCAGAGGATCAACAGGAACAGATCAGTCTGATAACTTCCCAGTACCTGCAGGACCTAGATTATCTACCCTATTGCTTAGGGGACAAGTGGTCCAAAACAAATCTTTCAGACCTCTAGTGTCTAGTACAACTGGATTATTTAGGTGTGGGGTAAAGGGGGTCCCTCAATTTGCATACAGTTAAGCTTTAAAACAAGGACACTGAAGCCATTTGCATTTACTGTTTGTCAGGCCAAACCAACTTAATTGTTGTTAGAGAGCAAAGACTACTTGCAGGAAAAGACACCATACATGTTGGAAGTACCTTGTGAGCCAGTGCTGCAACCAGTCTGATGGATCAAAAAATTTTTATATGCAATGAAACACAAGGACTTGTAGTGGTTTGAATCTGTCCATGAGCACGTCCCTCTTCCCCACAGGTTGTCACTTCTGTCAGCTCAGTGGTTCAGAAGTGCAAAAAAACTTTTGCAGCTTAGTAAGTTAAGATAAGCAAATAGGGACAGTGCATTTCAACCTCACTGCTGTGACCTGTCTTTGTCTCTGAGTAACTGGTTAACCACAGAGAAAGAGCCTACACATTATAAAATATGCTCAGTGTTACAGACAGCCCCACTGGCAACAGCTCATGCTTGATTCCAATCAGCTCCTAAATCCAACTGAATCCCGAACAGCAGTTGTCAGCCAAGCAGACCAGTGCAAATC